GAGTACAATAGGAGAATACCCGTTACACTTGCCTCCCTCCTGCCTCGACTGGGAAAGGCCGGCTTGCCAGGTCATAAATGCTGCATTTCACAAATTTTCGCCTTTGTAACTGCAAGTACAGTCCAGTCAAAAATGTGGTTTTTAATACGAACTTCATGTACTTGAACTCTATTCCACATTGAAGCAACAGTCCAGCCTGAAATTTATTTTGTAATACTAAACATTATGGAGCCGAAATTTTACATTATATCAAAGAATTGTTTCTAAAATGACAAAAATATGACCTTATTTCAAAATTATGCCAAAATATGCTGTAAAACCAATAAAACTCTAAAATATGCATTTATATGCACAATAAAAACGACATAATTTCAATAAGAATGACTGGAAACATGCATAATTACATTTAAAAATAGGAATAAACCCTAGGAAAAAAATATGACATGTCATAGAAATCCGGGCCCTACTGATGACTACATCTTCGTCTCTGAGTCGTAGGCAAACACCAATGACTCATCAGCAGTGACGATCTTTTTGAGAAACATTGGGTCCTGCGTACTTTTGTCAAACAGATCGCCAGCGACCATCATGCAACATTCCATCTGATCCATGGTCAGCTGCCTCATAACAAACTTCGCACTGACTTGTCGCATCTTCACATCATCGGACAAAATGGCATGAATGGATCCGTGACATATATCAACATCTTGCTCCAACTCCGTGATGGTCATTCTTTGATCACATCGAATCAGTTGTCGCACTTTTCCAATCATTTCTTCGGTTTTGGATGTCGAAGGTCTCCCGCTGCACTGGACATCCTCTAACGTCTCCTGCCAATTCTTAAACCGGGAAAACCAGTCGTAAACTGTGGATTTCTTTAGTGCAGTATCACCATAAACTTGCTGCAGCATCGATTGTGTCTCAGAAGCAGATTTTCCCAATTTGCACATGAACTTGATGTTCATACGCTCTTTGAACTGCAACATTGCGCCGAATGACCAACACTCACGTCTAATTCAAATGGAACAGTAACGACACTGCACACTGAAACCTGTCCAGACCTGTTGCGCCTGC